GTGCTGAGGGAGCGCCGCACTGTCGGAGGGTCAGTGCTGAGGGAGTGCCGCACTGTCGGAGGGTCAGCACTGAGGGAGTGCCGCACTGTCGGAGGGTCAGTGCTGAGGGAGCGCCGCACTATCGGAGGACCAATGAGTAGATGTGTACGATGAAGCTACTCTCGATAACGGTGATGGTGAAGCTATCAGCGATTGTTGTAAAAACCCATGTGGTTCAATTAATGGGAGGAAATCTGTTTCCTTCTCTGGTCTGGTCTGCATGTGACTCCAGACCCACAGCAATGTGGTTGAGAACTGGTGTCTGAAATGGGGAAGGACACTCAGATCAGAGGTAATTTCGCTGGATACGTATTTGTTGCCCAGGCCTGGACACCACCACATCTCCACACAAAAAAAAACAGAAAGAAAGAAACAAACTGAAATTTGGGCCATTTGTTTGCCTGGACCAAAGATTGGTTGATGAACAGGAAGCTGGGAGAAGGAATAAAAGACACCTTTACAAGCCCTTGCGATGTAACTAATGGCTTGGCACAGAATCTGTGCTGGGGCCTGACAGATAACTGGGTATATAAACTGAGGAGAATGCAGAGAGGCACCAACAATATCTGCACAGATGAAGGTAGTGGACAGCAAACTGGCCGTATTGGAATGTGGACTGGCGCCAATTTTGCACCTGAAAGCAGGATAAATTTCACGAGGAACATGCATAAGTGCCCCAGTTAAAGGAGCACAGACGGTTAAGCGAGCTGCACTGATGGCAAGTGTCTTCTGTTAGCTAAAGGATTAACAAATAGGAACTGAGAAGCGTTGCTGCAGTTACGTCAAACTCCAATGACACCACATCTGTTTGTGGTTCTCACCCCTACATCGAAAGCTGGATGTAACCGTACTCGAGGGAATGCAGCAAACATACATTCCTCGGGCTCTTGCATTATAGGTTTCTGCAGGGGAGGGAGGTGGGCAGATGTTGAAGTGTGGAATTAGGTCTGTCAGTTTCTGTGTAACACATGGGGGGGGCGTTGCGTTGGTTGCTGCATGGCCTCTTCCTGTGCATTTGTTATAAGGGGCTGAATGGGCATCTTCACACTGCTGTTCCTGCGGGACAGGCTGGAGAAGGGGCTGAATGGCCTTTTCCTGTTCCTGCGGGACAGGCTGGAGAAGGGGCTGAATGGCCTATTCCTGTTCCTGCGGGACAGGTTGGAGAAGGGGCTGAATGGGCCTCCTCTTGTTCCTGTGGGACAGGCTGGAGAAGGGGGCTGAATGGGCCTCCTCTTGTTCCTGTGGGACAGGCTGGAGAAGGGGCTGAATGGCCTTTTCCTGTTCCTGCGG